ATACAGTTTAATTGTATTCACATATACTGCAGTGGCTGACCGCTGCTGTTTGTATGCTATGGTCGCATGCAAACCTGGTAGGTGTGCGTGTGAGCTAAGTGACGACGCTGTTGTTACCCACTGCTGATGTTTAGGCAGACGCGCACGAGAGATTCAGATGAGCTGGGTGTCCGAGAAAGAGCTTCTATATCCCTATGAGCCGGATGTGATTGGGATTAGATCCCCAAGTTTCTTACACTGAAAAGAACACGTTGTATTATATATCGAGGGAGCACATACGCTTCAGGTAGAAATTCGATCACCGGGAAATTCATATTTGCAAAGGATGCGACTCCGAAGCTTGATTAAAGGAAATGTTTCACATCTGGAGATACTGAAGCAAGCATCAGACATAATGAAATAAGCTCACTTATAACTATTGGTATAGTTTTAAGTGGAAAAACAGCTCTAGACAGCAAAATTCCCTGTTTCGTAAATGTGCTCCTCGGTGCGTCATAGTTTCATTACGTCATCGTGCGTTAAAAAACATTGATTGAGGACCCACTGACGGCCGTTATATCTGGAAATCGCGCCCACGAGCGCGAGATACGAAGGCCTCGACAATTATCAATTGCAATTAGGACTTGAACGCCGCAAGGCTTATGGAATGGCAGGATTGGAATGACGTTATTCTTACCATTTATATTTATAATTATGTCATCATGAATGCTAAGGCGACTTTGAAGTGCTCCCCTCGAGATACCTTTCCTCATTTTTGAGGGCATGTCTCTCAGAAACTAGAGGGGATTAAGTCTTAAGAAGGGCAGGGTTGTGAACAGCACGGAAAGACTTTGAAAATGGCTATTTCAGTTCAAACTCCATATAAATGCGGGACACGTCTTTAAAGTTCACGTCAGGAAAAGTGTTGCATGATTGCCTTTGCAAATCTTTAGGCCACCCCCCTCATATACGTGTAATTCACTACCATTAGGGGCTGCAAAACTTCGCCTTTACCGTTCAAACCTCACTTTACCATACATTTTGCACACATTTTTATGTCAATGCAATTTTGCTTATACATTTTCCAGTCAGTCACTGAAAAGGTCACTACCAAATATCAAATAATGACGGGCATAACTCAGTCTGGACTGGCAGCCAGCATACAAAAGCCGACGATGGGCACCGGGTCCGTTATAGACGACCGGGCGTCAATTGTCGCTGCGCTTAGTGCTGCACTGCTCGACATAAAACTAGGCATGGGATTTAATGAGCATTTAGAATATTGATGACCATGCGACGTGAATGACGCTAAGTGTTTGACTCAATCTCAATAGCTGGCAATTTAGTAAAACCGATAATGCTTGGTATTTCCTGAATACTTTTATGTAAGAAGCATAGGCCTCCTTTGCAGAGTCAATTACCATTATTCAATATATCCGCATTAATGGAGACCGCAAAAACCTGCGCGTAGACACGGCCATAATCTGTGTGTAATTGTGTCGACATTGTTTTTGCATCTATTACACATATAAGTCAGTCATGTTTTGCAAGCTTCAGGACACTGTCAGTTAATTCGATTTTTGTTAGCTTTCGCCTTCGCCGTTCTAACGGGGAGGGTCAGAGGCCCATCCCCTCAAATATCGAAAAGCGAAGTAAACTGAGAGCGACGAGAAAAATGGCATTGGGAACTTCTCGTCACATGGCATCTGATCGGTGTGAGCACGCGATAGTAAATGTGACGGCTAACAGGTCAAATTATGACATGTTATCACAACTAGGCATGCAACGACAATGTCGGAAGCAGATTTCAGCGGCATTTGGAAGCTTATATCAGATAGCCACTAGTGGAAATCGACGTATATGATCTGTGACACGTCATGAAAGGTCAAAGGGCTGTTGTTGTCGGGTGGGCTAATGCAAGCTGTTGTTGTAGTGGCCCACCCGACGATGAAGAAATTAACAAGCCACGTCAATGGAAAAAACAGCGTTAGAGGTGCATTCCAAACTGTAAGGTGTGTGTCATTCAGATTTAAATCATATATCCTTCAAAAGGTAAAATACGGTTACCAGCGTCAAGGTTTTAACTAGCTTGAACTTAGATGATCTCTCCGTGCAAAAACAACCAGATTAATAGCGGTGCAATTAAGAGTGATAAAGGCAAACAAACAGCCTAGAAACCATATCTATTCTCCATATTCCCCCAGAAACAAGCCATGTTTTATTCTTTTGCGAGAAAGTTGTCACCGACATAACCTAAGGTGTCATATATTCTGAACCACCGAGGTGAGAAATCTCAAGTTTTCCAACATGCGTACAAGTGCGTACTTACATGCGTACTTAGCTAAGCGAAGCTTTAGCACCGATCCCAACAGCCGTTAAAAAACCGTGCACACATCCACCGCGCAATCAAACATCAGTTGACCTGGCCACTTGGCATCAGGAGATGCAGAGAACAAAACAAATCTTGTCACATGACAACCGTGGCTTGAGCAATATAGACGACCATATATGCCATGCGACCACTACAAAAAGCATACCACTACAAAAACCAGGATGCATCCGCCCTGATTGCACTTCCAGACTGCATATGCGGATGATCCGCCCTGATCTTAGCGCGAGACACATCCGCTCTTCAGGGTACCACTACCGTGCACGAGTGTGGAATACTCCCCTTAATCGTTGTTTTGTTACTTGGACCTAAGGGCGCGTGGACAGCCACGGCCATTTTGCACCCAGCCTATTGCTGAGTAAAACTAAAACTATGAAATGGTAAACAGTTGCCGACACTCAGGCCGGTTGTAAATCGTAACACCAGCTGTCGCTGCATAGCGGCCTGCGGCTGCTGAAGCCGAGCCTCATCTCCAACATCAACAAATATGTCATCTACATGTCTGCAGCATATATAGGGCTAAAGGTTTAGGTTTTTGAGGAAATGGTTTTCCAGTCAGCACATATACATATTAGCAAACAAGCGTCCGAGTGGTCACCCCATTGCGACAAAAACCATCTACTTGACGGTTGAGTTTCCGTTTGCACACCGGAAGGGGGCCTCCGGGTGCAGTAACGGATTTTTTTTCGAGGATGGATCGTGACGGTTTTGGTAATGGCAAGGTTGGGTGATTGTAGACACTGCCCAACATAAACTGGATTGTTCCATCAACGGGCACGTTTGTAAACATACTTTCTACGCATAATAAAGCAAGTAAACCAGTGGGATTACTAGACCTGATCATATCAATGAACTCTCCCGTCGATTTCAAGCCGTTAAGTTAAGATTGATCCCTGGCGGTAATGCTCAGTCACACCACCGACATCTTTTGCCAACTGATAGGTAGACGTGGGAATTTGAGATCTAATTGGTCTCAGTTGTGACCAGTTTCATGTGTTTTTACGCTACCGTAGACATAACCCGGGTACATTCACCTGTGACCTTTGTAAAGTGCTGCCCGCCAACCAGGTAGCTCGCTGCGGCAATCAGGCCGTTGAATTTCATAGTCAGGCTTTTGGCTGGATCCCTCGCGGTGCGAGCGAACTGAAGTAGATGGTCCATTTTACTCGGGTAGAAAGCTTTGTCCATGATGTCAAATATACTGAATTTATCTGCCATTCTTATGACGATAATTTCTGGACATCGATACGGATGTGAATAACGGATCTGTTGCGACGAAAGCGCACCGTAATCCTACCGATGCTGGGAAACGCATGAACGC